CAATGACAACATGATTAGGCATTGAAAATTATTATCGCGCACGCAAATGACGACTGAAGTATGTACGATGCACAGAAAACTAATTTAAATTCAAATTCAAATGACATTCTTTTTTAGAACTACTCAAGTGGTGTGCCGCAGGCTTATGGGGGGATCGCCCAGGAACCACTAGGCAAGCAAAGCTAGGGACCATTTAGGCCTAGCCTAAGGCTAAGCCGGCTTATGCCTATGGAGATTTATCCCCTTGGAACCACCTACTCTACGGCTGAAAGAATATCGTTACAATCTAGAACTATCACTAAAACCCAAATGACCTTGATGAATACTTCCAGCATTTGGTCATGCTGGGTTAGACATTAAAAAATGTTTGAAAATAGAGTACTTACTGAGTAAACGGACACGAAGTACACGGTAAGCAAACGACAAGCCCGTCCCCTAAATTTTCAAAATTAAAAATAATGGAGGAGAAAGGAAATTCATATTCAAATTTTAAGTCTGTGCATGTTATTTCCGGTCATCTAGAGGTGCATAATCATAAATTTTCCTCAGCCCCAACCGTGGTGGGTGTTATTGTGTGGGGTATTAGATCTTACAATAGATGTTCTAATAGTAATACATGAAATAAAGGGGTCAGAATTCTTAAAATTGAATGCATGTACTTCATCGCGGTGTGCCTAAGCACACACAATGAAAACCCAAAACAAGGTAAAAAAAAAACAAACTAAAGCAAAAATTTAAGACCACATCGTCAAAGATACTCTTTGACATCGTTTAACTTCTTTTCGTACTTTTACAGCAAAGGGTTTACTGGGCGCGAAGCTTTATTAATTTCACCAATGATTTCACACAACGAATGAAAACATATTATAATGAGAGATAAGACATTTTATCTATCATTTGATTTTTAAAAAAAATATGAACAACGTTATAAAAATAGAAGTTATAACTACTGAATAGACGCTGGTCCGATTTTGGCTTATGTGGACTACATTTGGCAGGTAATGTTAAAGCCAAAATCGGTCCAGCGGACCAATTTTGGCCCCGGACCAAATTTTTCCTGACAGGCAAAGACCGACAACTCTGAAGAGTGAAAACTTTGACTTATGCATCCATTCGAAATTACACAGTGTAGCCTCATCCAATATTTACAACCAAGTTAAGATCATATTGCACATATAAACCTAAGACCTCTTTTTCTTTTAAAATTATATTGCACTTTTTAAATGAAACCAAAGAAAATTTTACAGCAAACTGTAAGTTAGCGCACACACCCTTGAAATTGAGAGAGGAACGATTCACTAGGCCTATTTTAAAAGCCGAAGCTGAAAGCAGACTTTGTACCCTCTGTAAAAAACGGTGAAGTTGAAGATGAACTCCATTTTGTAATTGTTATTATTTACCAGGATGTTAACAACACTCTTTTCACCGAATTTGAATTTTATTCAAATCTCCAACACACAAGGGTCGAAAAAGTCTTTTTATTGTCAGTTAAGATGAGTATGATATCATCAAGCCTGTCATTGAATCTGTAACGTCTGCATTTGAAAGGCGTTCTGCTCTTGAGGCTTCAACCTAAAGAGGGTTATTGAATATAATATCGTGTTTATCGCCTGTGACATAGGCTTTCAAACATTTTTTATTTGTTTTCACTTATTTGGTCTTTTCATTTTCACTTTCATTGTCTGTATTTTGACCATATCATTTGTTAGATGTCACAGTCAAATAAACTGAATTGTATTTATCCTAAAGATAAAGTGAATTATTAATATAAGTGGCAAGAGTTGTGTATACATACCATGCATGAACTGCAGTAAATGGTATGTAGGTCACAGGCGGAAAGATTATTTGGCATCCAAAAAATAACACCAGAAAGACAAAATTACCACACTTCACCCGAACACAAATGAAACAATCACAAACTTGAGAGCAGCTTGGGGTATTCCAATGCGTCGTCTAAACTCGTGGTAGCCACTGTGTGTGTGTGCTGAACCGTAGAGATATCTTGGTTCTCATTTCAAATCCCATATCGCTGCTTTCTCTGTGTTTCAGCTGGAGGTCTGAAATGCAAGTTACGATAGCGCACCGTCTTTCGGATTAGACATTTAAACCGTTGGTTCCATGTGCATTATGACCTATGAGCACGTTAACGAACACAGTACACTTTACAGAAAGGAGTAGGGTGTTGTCTCCGGTGCCTGTGTACTGTCCTATCACCACCAGAAGGACACCACTGCAAATAAATCTTCTTCAGACTTTAGTGGATTATAAATAAATCCATCCATCCAATCTTGTTATAACAAATCAGTCATTTACATACAGATCAAGCATGAAAAAGACATTACAGCATCAGTTGATGCAAGGGTGCAGATCTGTTTTGAAAGGTAAGGGGAACAGTCGTAACTCCGCATTCACCTCAGCCTCACCATGGTTGGATGCAAACATTTGGCGAAATATAGTACCTCTAGATGGCCAGAAATGACACTATTTATAGTAAAATTTATCATCATCACATCATCATTATAGCCAAAAAACTAAATAAAGTATCTAATATCTACATACACTCATGAAGTTTAAAAATAAGTCAATTTTTTATTCATTAATTTATAATCACTACTATTTATAAATATCCATCATTTTATGCAATATTGATTTTTATTTTTGATATAGGCAACCCTTCACAAGCTTTTGCATTTTAGGTCTTTGCTTCTCTTTCTAATCAATATTTAATCTATTTGTTTACAAATTTGTTGTGAATAAATAAAAGAGAAATATTATGTTATGTTGATTGAATGAATCAATGATGCTGCGAGTTATGAGTTGTTGCCCTACCACTACTTTTATAAGAGTTTGACTAACAAAATTACGCATTGCATTAAAATGTACATTTCCTTGCTTTTGTTTGGTATCTTTTTTCATTCATCATGTATTTAATATTATTAATGGCCTATTACGATTTATAAGGTAACATAAAAACAAAATACATTATTAAATGATATTCAGTTTGAAAATGTATTTAGGCAGTGTGATTGTACTGTAACTTTTAGTTCAGTCAAAAAACCACGGAAAATAACCAACTTCGCAAATGCAGTCAGTGATGATGAGTATCACTACGTGCAGAGAAAAATACAGTTATATTTTGATAAGAAAGCTTATTTAAACATATCTCACACAAACAGCTTCTTTAAACCTGGTACCCCTGGCTACGTTTGTTTTGATGTTTGTTCAGTTCCACATTTTTATATTAATAACATTTTTTGTTAATAGAAAATGGCAGATACACATGAACATTTTTATGCTTATTATTTTGAAAACGCTGTTATTTAATATTTTATCAGCACTATGTGTACCAGAATGTGGTGCTGGTGGTACTTGCGTGTCTCCTAACAACTGTTCGTGTTTCTCTGGCTTCGAAGGACAACAGTGTGTAGGTAAGTTACATTGTATTTTTCAACTATAAAGTAAACCCATAATAATAACAATAAAAATAATAATAATAATAATAATAATAATAATAATAATAATAATAATAACAATAACAATAATAATAATAATAATAATAATAATAAATATTAATAAAAATGATAATAATAATAATATATTTCATTTACAACAGAAGCTCGTTCACCAAGGTGGTGTTCTTTTACAAGGCCGTATCTTTAACATATCATAAAAACTTAACTATAAAATGAACAACTAATAGTCTGTACT